TATCAGAAGGAAGAACAAAAACGTGCTCTTTTTTTTCTACTTTCGAGGATAATAGAAAAGTTTACAGCACGTTGATTGGAACAATAACAGCGCGATGTTAGTGGAACACGCGACACAATGGGCTTGGCAAGTAATGGGTGACACGAGAATCGAGGTCCTTTGCACGTTTCTCGTGTTCGTAGGTGCATTACTGATAGCGAGGTGCTTGCAATGGCTTAGGTATGTGCGCGCTCTGCCTCCAGGGCCTTGGGGTGTACCCGTGTTCGGTTATTTGCCATTCTTGAAAGGCGACGTTCACCTCCGGTACGGCGAACTGGCAAAAAAGTATGGTCCAATGTTCAGTGCCCGGCTAGGAACGCAACTGGTGGTTGTTCTTAGCGATCATCGTACGATTCGCGACACGTTTCGCCGGGAAGAGTTTACTGGCAGACCGCATACCGAGTTCATCAACATCCTCGGCGGATATGGTAAGTCCATAGCACGTGATGGCTGTCATGCTCGCTTTCTGATAACCATTGCCCTATCGCACGTACAATTTCGCGTACACGCGGGATTTTTCCTCGACTTGTCTTTCGCTTTTCCCATCCAGAGTCTCGGGTTTTTCTTTCTCTTCTCCTTTTCGCATTCTTCTTTTTTTTATCGAAACTTGCACGCGCGCGTTCAATCTTCGTTTCGACAAGTTCAACTTGTTTTTTTTTTTTTCTACATATACAGTTTTATTTATCAGATTCGTGGTTGATTGTTCCTTTCTTTCGATTCCGTGATAGAAAGGCTACCGACGAAACGAAATCTGTGTCTCTCTTATTTATTCGCGATGCGTTGCATTCTACGAACACTGGTCTGTTTGCTTGATCTTTGAAGCTCAAGAGTTTTTTTTTCCTCTCTCTGTCTCTCCCTCGTAGGTATTATCAACACCGAAGGTGCCATGTGGAAAGACCAAAGAAAATTTCTTCACGATAAGCTCAGAGGCTTTGGCATGACCTATATGGGCGGTGGAAAGCAAATTATGGAATCGAGAATCATGGTGAGCGCTGCGTTTTTTTTGCGAAGATTTCCGTCTCCCATTTTCCCTCCATCAGTAGATTAAGAAGAACAAAAGACAAAACTAAAATTTTTACTCCAAATACAGTGATATTTAATTGATTATTTTATTTTTATACCACGTAGTTAAATATTGAATATGATATAATTAACATTTAACGACATCACCAATGTTTATAAAGCAGTAATCCAAATAAATGATCTTTATAGACTAAATTTATCCTATTGCACATACAGCATGCGTCACGATCAGTTCGTACGATGAAGGTTCTACTGCATGACTTGCTTCGTCGTGCACCACGATAGAATATTTATTATTATTCATTGTTCAACATTGTCCAACGTGATATGAAAGACAGTACAAAAAAAAAAAAAAAATAGAAACTAATGAAATTGAACAATACTAACGTACGTGTAATCGAATGATTCATCGAATTATTTATTGTTCGTTATTGACCGAGGGCCAGTGAAATTACAAGATATATACGAAAGATGACAAATATAAACACAAAGAAAAGTGGCTAATTAAATTAATAACAATCCCCGTGAACGCAATAATGTATGATTGAAAGATTACGACAGAACCAAATACGAAGAGAAGGAGAAAAAAATTTCTGTTTAAAGAAGTAACAAATTTGATTTCAGCGCGAGGTGAAGACGTTCCTTCGTGGATTGGCGTCGAAACGAGGCGTACCGACGGACGTCTCGGCCTCCCTTGGAATGTCGATCAGCAACGTTATATGCTCCATCATAATGGGAGTGCGTTTCCAACATGGCGACAATAGGTTCAAAAGGTTCATGGACTTGATCGAGGAGGGTTTCAAATTATTCGGCAGCATGGCCGCTGTCAACTTCATCCCCGTGATGCGTTATCTGCCCTGTCTGCAAAAGGTTCGCAACAAGATAGCGGAGAACCGCGCGGAAATGGCGGACTTCTTTCAAGAGGCGGTCGATCAGCATCGAGCAACGTTCGACGAAAGCACCGTGCGAGACCTTGTCGACGCGTATCTGCTCGAGATCGAGAAAGCGAAGGGAGAAGGTCGCGCCACTACGCTTTTCCAAGGGAAGAATCATGGTAAGAGGGAATCGGTGATGCGTTTTATGCGTCGTTTCATACTGAAGAAATTTGCTAGAAACTTTCTGTAGGAAATATTCATTTTTATAATTTATATTTAACCCTTTGTATAAGGGCAAGTATATTACTGTATCGACTCTCATTATTTTACTGTTTCTAGAAAATGTAAAAATATAACTTTGCACTATTTAACCGTATCACATGTACAAATCTATATAGAAAATCTTTCAGGGAAAATAGAAAGCTCAGAACCCAGATTGTCTGTAACTCTACTCTTTTCAATATTGTATACGTGTAATTATTTATTAAACAGAGACCTTTCAGTATCATTTAAAAATTATAATTCTCTTTTTAAAAGCGCATAAACATCCACGATCTACTCGTAAGATCCACGTTTCGTTTTACGCTGCTCACTCCTTTTCTTCTTTCCGTATCATTTGTAGATCGGCAGATGCAACAGATTCTTGGTGACTTGTTCTCCGCTGGTATGGAAACAGTGAAGACCACGCTCGAATGGGCGATAATCTTGATGCTACATCATCCGGATGCGGCGACTGCCGTGCAGGAGGAATTGGACCAAGTGGTGGGCAAATCGAGGATGCCCGCCTTGGAAGATCTACCTTTCCTTCCGATAACAGAAGCGACGATACTCGAGGTTCTTCGACGATCGAGCATAGTCCCTTTGGGAACCACTCATGCAACGACCAGGTAATTATATACATGGAATTTGTTGACTTTTGTTAACACGTAGGTTCTTTTTGCGTGGAGAAATCTTTCGTCTTCTTTCCAGTTTTCCAGTTTAGTTTAGTTTAGTTTTCAGTTTTAGTTCCGCTCGGTTTAGTTCTAATTTAGTTTTCTATTTTACCAGAAACTAGCAAGCAATAATAAATTACTAATTTTATTCAAAGTAATGAATTTCTATATAAATAATGGTAATAATTGTAAAAGGACACAGTATATATGACAGTAATAGATAGTAACTAAAATTAATTAAATTAGTAACTTTACTAGAGGTTAGTAATAGTAAGAATAATAAATAGGAACAAATTAGTGATTTACTAGAAATTAGAAATAACTAACTGTCACTTAATTTTCTACTATCAATCTGTTATTGTCTCGTTTCGTATTAGCGTTTTCTCTAATTAATTCTCGAAAAAAAATCAAGCTATGGAAAGTAAAATCAAACTAGTCCCTAGTTAATTCTCTAGTTGGTTTTCGAAAAAACATTGTCAAACCTACGAATGGACGAGCAAAAGGAAAAAGAACAAAGTCAAAATAACGATATATAATAGCTATACACACAATTTCTTTCGATGTTAGGACGCTGCGAATAAATTAAACGCGACCGCGAAAGGTGGTTTTCTATAAACGTCAGACGCAATGCACATAGTGGAGCAGAGCATGATTTGAAAATCAGGAACATGTGTTGTCATCCAGTTGAAAAAATTTCGGTCGCAATAAAAATGATCGTCCACTTGTAACATTCTGGAATTTTATTATTTTTTTAGTTTTTTCTGTTCATTATTCATATCATCAAGCAAACAGACAGTTTAGACGACGCGATTTTTCGACCAGTTTAATAATTGAAAGTCCAACTTTCACGTGCCTCGTTTATCTAGCGAAATGTGCAAAAATTAGCTTAGCTCTTTTCTATTAACCGTGTGCAGAGGCTTGTGTCGAACAGTGTTTCATATTGCAGTGATTCAGGGGCACATCGGCCTCTCGCGATCAAACACAGACATGTGCAGACGTTCATACGAAATCTCACCTTCGAAATAGTCGAGTTCGAACGCCGGAAAAAAAGAGAGAAAAAAAGAAACATTGTTTCAGAGACGTGACGTTACACGGTTACACGATACCGGCTGGATCTCAGGTGGTGCCGTTGTTGCACGCGGTGCACATGGATCCGGAACTGTGGGACGAGCCGGAGGAGTTTCGACCGAGTCGGTTCCTCTCGGCCGAAGGTAAAGTCCAGAAACCGGAATACTTCATGCCGTTCGGCGTCGGCAGACGCATGTGCCTGGGCGATGTGCTGGCGCGCATGGAGTTGTTCTTGTTCTTTAGCTCGTTGATGCACACGTTCGAGCTGCGATCGCCGCAGGGTTCGTCCTTGCCGAGCTTGCGCGGTAACGCCGGCGTCACCGTCACGCCGGACCCGTTCGATGTTTGCCTGGTGCCGAGGAATCTCGATCTGATCGAGGATACGAGCAACGACGCGATCGGTTCTGGTGCCATTCTGCGGAACGTCGGCAGCCATTGAGTTCCCTGGTTCCTCGAACGCTCCAACAATGATCGACGGAGCACGGTAATCGTTCCTAACGAGACCGACACCGAGACCTGGCTCGACTTGGCCCGACTCGATTCGAACCCGATCCAAATCCGAGTTTGCCTTTCTTAAGGACGATGTTGCCGTAGTCTGTCGACGATTTTTAGACTTCATTCGTAAAATAGCTATTCTTAGTCCTCGGGCAGTATCGCGCAGTCACGGATGAATACAGTAATTTTACAGTTACAAAATTCATCTTGATTGGCAACAAAGCTGGATCCGATCTAAAGCTAAAAGTTTCAAAATTGAGCGGCGTGTAATCTTGAATTTTTATTTGCGGCTCTCGATGTTTCAATGAGACTGGGTAGCAATTTAGAGGACGAGCAATTTGAGATAATTGTCGACAGAGGTTGGACAGGGATCAGCACGGTGTACAAACGTCGTTTCTAAAGGGGCCAATTCGATTTCATTCAATTAATACATTCTCTATCACAGCGTTTCTTAATCTATGGTCCTCAGTAACTGAAGAAGGAACGCTGGCTCCATCAGATTGTTTCAAGCGAATTTCTCACACGACTCGAACGCAGTTTTGTTCGTCGTTTTTATTGTCGTAGCAAAAGGCGAGGATTAAGAAAACCAGTTTGTCGATATGAGAATCGAACAACAGATCTCCAGATTTTGAAAGAGAGTTTGAGGATAAAATCAAAACTCGTGCACGAGTGATATGATAGGGAGCCTGTTCAATTCGATCTTTGTCCAAGCTCAACCCTCAAGTGCTATAGAAACATTCAAAATTTGGAGTAAATATCAAATCCAATCTTCCTTGCTCTATATGTTAACCCTCAATCGATATCGTCGAACGTTTGGTCAACAGAAATTCCGATTAAATCGATTAATTTCAAGAGTTCCGTTGAATTTTATTTTAATCTTATTAATTCTCTCTTCAAGATAACTACAATACAAAAAAAATTTTAATAACTTGAGAAAAATTACTACAGTTATTACTGTTATAATCCAACGATACTACTTGAGGGTTAACAATAGAAACATTCAGTCGATTACAATAAAAACACGAATAGGATTTCGCAGACGGTCTATAGTGCTTAAGGGTTAACCACCCCTGCGAGGTTATTATTTCTTACTTCAGTTTCATCCGTCTCCACTTCATCTCCCTCCCCATTTCCCCCCGTCGCAGATGCATTTCTTCATTTCCCAGTTTCTGTTATTTAATTTTAAATAACCCCCCCCCCCCAGCCAAGCGGCAACATTTCGCTCCTTATTTATTCGCATTTAGTCATTAGCGTTAACATTAGCAGAACGTGCGCAGTATGTCGGGACAAAACCGTGTTGAATGACGTTTCGGGATGTTCCGCATGTACATATTCAAATGACACAGACGAGAGAGAGAGAGAGAGAGA